ATATTGTGCTGAGGTTCCGGTGCAGTCTTTTTTATCTACACAGATGTCGCAGGTGGTGGACACCGTCCTGAGGTACGAATATGGGATGACAGTAACAACTCCGCAAGCGAGTAATCCGTAGACCGCGCGCGCAGCGCGCTCCGTTTGCAGACCGCCCTGGCGGACTCGTTTACACTTCCAAGCTCAAGCCAGGCGTCGCAGGCCATAAAGAGGAGCGCAGATTAAAATGGCGCCGCAGGCTCCCCGGGCCGTCCGCGCACAGACCACAATAAAAAACATCTATCACACACCACTAGGGGGTGGGGGAGCTCCGATCTCCCATCTCCAATACTCTCCAATCTACAGCGTCGTCATCTTAGGCCGGGGATCCAGTCAGATCTCCGATCTCCATCTTCAATCTCCAATCTCCAACGTCGTCATCTTAGGCCGGATCCAGTCAGATCTCCGATCTCCATCTTCAATCTCCAATCTCCAACGTCGTCATCTTAGGCCGGATCCAGTCAGATCTCCGATCTCCATCTCCAATCTCCAATCTCCAATCTCGATTCGGGGGCCCGGGGGAGGAGGGGGGCTCAAACCTTCAAGGAGATGCGCTATGGATTCATTCACACTGGCCATCTCTCATCTCCAATCTCCAATCTTCTACTTGGCCACTGTCGCCGCCGGCAGCAATCTACGACCTCCATTTTCAATCTTCGATCTCACATCTGGGGCGGCTGGGCGCTAGGATCTACAATCTGCATTCTCCATCTCCTATCTCCACATTTTGGCCCGTGTTGCTGCTCAGCGATCTGCAATCCACAATCTCAATCTTCGATCTTTAGTCTTGAATGGGGAACCGGACAGGAGGGACTTTCTGAAAATCAGCGTCTAGAGCACTGACCCGTAGAGCCGTGCTGGCGAGACTTGGGCGTGTCCGTGTGCGGATATCTCCCCAGTCTTAATCAACTATCTCTACCCCATCCCCAACGATCTACTGGTCTTGGGTAGAGATGTCCATTACTCCTGCGGCGGGACGGAAAATGAACGTGACGGAGATGCCGTCAACACAACACACAAACGCGAAAGACAGAATTCAAATTTAGCACAGCTAGCACACAGCTTCGCATCAGCTGTCCCGCTCGTCCCCGTTTGGCATCGTGGCCCAACGCGCCCGCACGAAGCCCAGCGCCGCCTGCATGACCGCCTCCCCCGTCGTCGGGTACGGGTGGATGCTCCGCGCCACAGCGGCGAGGCCGACCTAGCATCAACGTGCAGCCGACTTGCTCCCTTCGCAAAGAGGCTGCCTTAACCTTTTGCTCGCGAGCGCCTTTGCGTGGATCGCGAGCGTGAGCTCGTTGATCGCCTGAGAGACGAACGACCGAGGAGATGAACGACTGCTGATTCACAATGCAACGGCGCGCGTGAGCTCGAGCGCCTCGCCGGCGCGGCTCCCGACGACAGTCGCTCCGACGATCTCGTCGCCTCCCCTCCGGCAAAGAATGCTCACCTACGTGCACCCGCAGCAGAGGCGTGAGGAGGCGCGGAGCTCGAGCCCAACCGTGTCCCCGTCCGGCAGGGGGGGGGGGGGGGGGGGCGCACGAAGCCGCCCTCCTCGTCCTCGCCCTCGAGGATCGCTCGGTCGTTGCCTAATCTCGGACAATCTCGCGTCGCCTCGGCCGATCTCGTCCTCGCCAGCGAGAAGAAGCCGTGCGGCCGCTGCCCGCGAGAGCGCTGCTGTACTCCTCCACCTCTACGCCCGCCGCCCTCGCCGCCGCTAGACTCATGCCGACCATCGCGACCTGATCGCGCGCACTCTCGGTCACTCTTCGGGCGATTTGGCGGCGATCTGGAGGCGATCTCGCGGCGCCTCGGGCTCGGTGTAGATCACGGAGGGCACGACGAGCGACGTGTGCCGCCACGCGCCGCCAAAGAGCGCATTCTCGACGGCCACCTGGGGCGCGGCACCCTCGGTCCATCCCGCAGGCAACCTCGCGCGATCTCTCGCATTCTCGCCAATGGAGGGCAGGGGAGGGAAGGGGGGGGGGGGGGGGAAGGGGGGGGGGAAGGGGGGGGGGAAGGAGGGAAGGAGGGAGGGAGGGAGGGAGGGAAAAGGAGGGAGGGAGGGAGGACCGGAGGGAGGGAGGGGGGGAGGGAAGGAAGGAATGGAATGGAAAGGAAAAAAAAGGAGGGGAGGGAGGGAGGGGGGAGAGGCAAAACAAGCACCTTGGCGTGCTCTCCGGCGACATGGGTCAGACGAGGCGTGCCCGAGACGACGTCGCCCGCCGCGTACACGTCCGGGTTGCTGGTCGCGAGGAGCTCGTCGACCTGCGGGCGATCTCGAGAGATCTCCCGCTGATCTCGAGCGACCTCGGGTGATCGCGGGTGATCTCGGGAGATCTCGGGAGATCTCGACTCGTCTGGCATCTAGTCGCTCGTGGCCAGGATGCCGCCTTCGCCCGCCTCCACGCCCGCTGCGTCGAGGCCGAGATCGCCTGCGGGTCATGTCTCCGACGCATCACGGACGTGTCTCGTACCTTCCGAGCCCGAACCTGAAGCCGAGCACGCCTACAGGGACGTGCCGGGACACGTCCGGTGGACACTTCTCGCACATCTCGCCTCCGCCGCCCCCGCAGCTCAAGCCGCCGGTGTTTGGCTCTCTGCCCGTCGCCACGAGCAGCGCGTCGCACTCCAGCGCCCAGCCCTCCTGTTCACGGCTGGACGGTGTGAAGAGGTGCCGACCCACGCGCAGCGCGTCCACCCCGCTTGCAGCTCGCCTCGCCGCCGCCGTCGCACTCCCCCGCCGCCTCGCCGCCGCCCCCTCCTCCCACAGCGTGGAGGGTGATGCGCGGGAATCCGCCCGCCTCCGGCGAAGTGTGCGCCACCCTCTCGACAGTCGCGTTGTAGCGCACGGTCACGCCAGCCTGCAGGGAGGAGCGGGCCGGTCTCGCGCCGGCGGCCGCGGCAGAACGAGGACACGTCGCCTGGGTAACCTCTGGGCGAGGCTCCGGCCCCTCTGCTCAAGGCCCCGTCTGCTCAAGGCCCCGTCTGCTCAAGGCAGCCACACCTCCCGCCGCGAGGACAGCTCACGCTGTGCCCTCTCTCTCGGCGGCACCTCGGCTGCACCTCGGCTGCACCTCGGCTGCATCTCGGCTGCATCTCGGCTGCACCCTGGCTGCATCTCGGCCGCACCTCGGCTCGATCTCGGCTCGATCTCGGCTAGCCGCCCGCCTCACGCAGCGCGGCCGCCACCGCCTCCCCCGCCTTGGGGTGCTCCCTTGGCAGCAGCCTCCCCGACCTCGCCAGCACGGTGACTGCCGATCCGAAGGCGGAGAAGGCATGCGCCATCTCCAGTGCCACAGCGCCGGCGCCTATTCACACTTGCGCGCGTGAAGAGGGCGGCCGTCGACGCCGCCGTCTCGAGGGGGTGACCAGCGGCCGGCGCCGAGGACGGCGAGTCGGGGCGGCAGCGAGTCGAGGTTGAACAGGTTGGCGTTGGTGAGGAAAGGCGCGGTCTCCAGCCCGGGTATGGGCGGCAGCGCGGCGCGCCCTCCTGTGCTCACAGCATCGCGGTGCCAAGTGGCGAAGGCGTGCGGGGAGGGACCAGCGCCGCCGTCTGTCGGCCGCCTGTTGCGATGACTGCCTTCCGGAAGCGGAGGACCTTGCCGTTCACCTGAGGGTGGCGCGTGCAGACCACTGCTGCACCGGCTCTGGGCGCGGTCCGGCTCCCCTGTTGCTTTGCGGTCATTGTTCCCTTGTTGGTTGTAGTTGCAGTTGTAGTTGTGTGCGTGCGTGCGTGCGTGCGTGCGTGCGTGCGTGCGTGCGTGCGTGCGTGCGTGCGTGCGTGCGTTGTGTGCCCTGTGCGTGCGTTGTGTCCACCTCGACAGTGTTGCGGCCGGTGAAGCGGCCTCGCCCTTGGTACACGTCGGCGCCCGCCGCGTTGGTGCCCTCGTGCGAGTCGGCGGGAGCGATCTGCGCCCGCTTCGCCCTCAGCCTCTGCATCACCGCCTGTGAGTGATTAACTCCTCATTAGATGATCATCGTCAACCGGCACGTGCTTCTGCCAGCTCTCGAAGGCCGCAAAGTCGACCGCCGGAGGCGCCGAGAGCCGCACTCCAAACTCCTCTGCTCGGCGCACCTCCCTCACGGCGCGCGCGGCACGGAGCAGCGCCTAGCGGCAGCAGCGACATTCGGGAGCAAGGCGGCGCGTCCAGATCGCGTGCGAAGCGGCGCTCAGTTTGCTACTAAGTGGAGCCAGCTCACTAGTGCTCTAGCGAGCGCCTCCGAGATCAGGCAGGAGCGAGCGCCGCGCCGCGCCGCCTGCTTGGCCGACACGAGCCCGCCCGCGCCCGCGCCAATGACGACAAGGTCGTACACTTCGGGCGGCGACGGGTCCGTCCAGCGTCGAGGGTGGACCGCGTCGAGCAGCCTGGCATTGCTCGCGTCGAGCGGTTCAATATCGAGCTGCCGGGCCGCGCTTGCGTCGGCGTCGGCACTCGGATCCCAGCGAGCAACGGCGGAGACCGGCTGTGTGCGGATGCCTGTGGCGGCGGCTGAGGGCGGCGAGAGGTAGGCGAGAGCGGAGAGGCGGAAGAGTGTGGCCATCGCTACATGCTATGGCCAAAAAAGTTTGGCCCCCTGGTTTCTCCCTCACCTGCCAACAATAGATCTACCTCGGTGGCGCAAGGGTACCTCAACTGAGATAAGCGCCGAAGCCTAGAAATCGCCGACCGATCGAGACGAGGAGATTCCCGAGGCGTGTGCGGCACAGCTCGCCTTGTCCGCGCCCCTCGCCCGCCCGCCACCCTCACTCGCCCGCCCCGCCCTCCCCGCGCCCCGCCCCGCCTGCGGCCACACCAAGGTCCCCTCTCCTCTCCGTCACCGTCCCGCGGGGCCCCCATTGCGTGCAGATTAACCATGGGACGCAGGCCGATCGTTGGTGGCAACTGGAAGTGCAACCCAGCTGAGATCTCGAAGCTCGACGGTCTGGTTGCCAACATCAACGCGTGCGATACGTCGGGCTGCGACGTGTACGTCTGCCCGTCGCCGCTGCACGTCGGGCTCGTCTACAACAAGTTCACCAACGGCGCCTGCGTGGCGCCGCAGAACTGCAACTTCAAGGGCTGCGGTGCGTACACTGGCGAGATGGCCGTGGACCAGATGGTCGACATGGGCATGAAGTGGTGCCTCATCGGCCACTCCGAGCGCCGCGGCGAGTTCGGCCTGCCGACGCCCGTCGAGAGCAGCGAGCTGCTCGCCACCAAGTGCAAGTACATCCTCGAGAAGGGCATGAAGTGCATCTACGCCATCGGCGAGCCGCTGCCCATCCGTGAGAAGGGCATCGATGCGGTGCTCGCCTACTGCGTGGAGCAGCTCACGCCGTTCAAAGACATCCTCGATCCCGAGACGGTGGTCCTAGCCTACGAGCCCGTCTGGTCGATCGGCACCGGCGTGACGGCGACGCCGGAGCAGGCGCAGGAGACGCACGCGGCCATCCGCAAGTGGATCTCGGAGAACGTGAGCCCGGCGTGCGCCGAGGGCATCCGCATCCAGTACGGCGGCTCGGCCAACGCCAAGAACGCCCCCGAGCTCTCCGCCTGCGCCGACGTCGACGGCTTCCTCGTCGGCGGCGCCTCGCTCAAGCCCGAGTTTGCCGAGATCGTCGCGGCCATCGCCCAGGCCAAGGCGGCCTGACTCGTCGCGGACGGGCGGCGCTCCCGACTGTGAGTGGCGCAGCCACTGCGCCCACGTAGTGCCATGGACACGGCGTGAGGCGGAAGGGCAGCGGCGCGGCGTCCACCCGTGCCGTGCGTGTGGTGTTGGAAAGGGATGATCTCGGAACACGGCGCGATCGCTCTCTCGTCGGTGTGTGGATAGCGCGTGCGCACCCGCAGCGATGGCAACATGGGCGGAAGGTGGGTCTTGTCCGACGCGTCAACGATTAGGACGTGGATGTGAGCGCAAAATCTCGAGCTCGTCTCAGGCGCTAATACGAGTGAGAACTGAAAGATCGAGAAAATGTGAAATATTGAAAAAATAAAATAGCTAGCCTTAAATGCTAAAAAAGGTTCGCCTTTTGGGCCTTGGTGCTTGGTAGGTTGGTTGCAAGGCTTGGAGGTCGTCTGGGTTGAGAAGTGCTCTCGTAAGCTCGAGAAAAGCCGAACAAAGGAACTTCATTTCGATTGTTCGCGTATGTTCTTCGTACCGGGTCGTGGACGTGGTACAGCACAAGTTGATACCGTAGAAAATAAAAGGGTGCCGGGTCGCAGCACGCAGATGCGTGCCGTGCCGGCTGCCGCGTGCGGTGCGGACGTCTCTCGTCTGCGCACTGCGGTGTGCCGAGGCGAGAGCGGCGAGGGCCGCGTCCCCCGCGAGTAGGAGGTACGTAGCCACTGAAAGCGAAATCGCGCAATCCGGTCCGCGCAGATGCACTATCGGTCTAGGCTAGTTCCAAACGATAGAACTAAGCTTAATATGAGCCATTTGGCCAACAAACATTGCATTTCAACAAAGAAAAGAAAGAAAACGGACAACCCAAGGGAGGGATGGGAGGACGGGGGGGGGAGGGAGCCGGTATCGACGGCACGCCGCCACCACACAGGGATTTTAAGGAGAGGGGTGTGGTGCGCTAGCCGTCGCCCACCCTTGGGCGTCCGCCTCTTCCTATCTCTCTTCGCAGCCTCTCTCCGATTCTCGCTTCAACCTTCGTGCCACCTCGCGGTCGCCCCCTTCTCGTCGTGCTCTCCCTTGTCGCTTCTTCCTCTGTCGCGTCGCTCTCCTCTGCCTCGTTCTGCGCCGCCGCCGCCGCCTGCCGGTCCCTTGTTCTCTCGGCTTCTTTCGCCTTTCGGCGCAGCTCCGCCCTCCTTGCTGCATATCCTGGCCCCTCGAGTCTATCGAGCTCTCCTCGAGCAAGGACGAGTCTTCTGACGCCCACTGCTATCATTTGCCGCCCAGTCATATCATTGCTCAGGTCCACTCTCTCTTCGAACACTTGTGCCTTCACGGATGATGCCGGCGCTGGGGTCCCCTTCGGGTGCATCGTGACGGCTGACAACGGGATTTCCACTGGTTCGTCCTCCTCTGAGTCGTCTTCCCCCGCTTCCTTCCGCTCGGCTCTACGTTCGGTAAGTCCGGCTTGGCTCACCCTCCATGCCGTGAACAGGCGCTTTATCCACCCTATGTTCTTCTCTCGCTCCTCCGTCCGCCCGTGCCTTGGTCTTGTCGTTGTTTCGCATCCATGTCTGTATGGCAGTCGAGGCTGCCTTCCCCACTACCTGTAGTTCACTCGTCACCTCCCCCGCGAGCTCCCTTTTCTTTCTTTCGGGTATGGGGTCCATTTCAACATTACAGACAGACACGGACAACTGACTTTTTTCTGACAGCGATACGGTGCAGACATCAAGGCCATATTGCGGCGGTGGAGGGAGTGATGGCGGCGGGGGTGGTGGCCGTCGCTGCCGCGGGCGTGGTGGCGGCGGGGGCGGTGGAAGCTGAGGCGTCGTGATGCGCTGCCTCCGCCGCCTTCGTCGCCACCGGCTCTGCCGGCGCCGCCGCGGCGGGTGTCGCCCGCGCGAGGGCAGTAGCCGCGCGCGGACAATTCTTTTTTGAGCGGCGCTGTCGACCACTGCATTACCACGCATGGAGGAGGACGCCGAGGCCGAGCCCCAATCCTACGCGTGGGAGTCGGAGCTGCAGCGCACCTGGGACGCCGTCGAAGAGACGGCCGATGGCAGCCTTCGCTCCGCCGCCGCTGGCTCCTGGCGGCCAGGCGAGAAGCCGAGCGTGCAGGTCGGCGTGCGGCGAGGCGTGATGCGCGCCGTGCTGCTGGTGCTGGACTGCTCGCGTCACGCCGCCGAGCACGACGTCGAGATGAAGCCCTCGCGCCTCTCCGTCATGTGCGACGCCGCGAGCGACTTTGCCGGCCGCTTCTTTGAGCAGAACCCAGTCTCGACGCTCGCGGTGCTGGTCACGCGGAGAGAGAAGGCGGAGGCGCTCACGCAGCTGTCGTGCAACGTGCGGCAGCACCAGCAGGCGCTCCGGGCCCTCGCCGCGTCCGACGACGGCTGCGGCGGCGACGCCTCCTGCAACATCCGCTCGGGGCCTCTTCCAAGCGTTTTCGCAGGACCTTTCCTGGAGCTGTGCTATAGGTGACGCGTCGCTGCAGAACGCGCTCGAGCTCGCCCGCGACACGCTCTCCTCGGTCGCGTCCTTCGTCTCGCGCGAGGTCCCTCCTCTCGTCTGCTTGTTGTTCTATCATCATCATCGTCATTGTCCTTCTAACATTTGCGAGGTGCTCCTCCTCTCGTCTTCGCTGACGACTTGCGACCCTGGCGACCTGCTCGCGAGGACCCGAGAGGACCCGAGAGGACCCGAGAGGACCCGAGAGGACCCGAGAGGACCCGAGAGGACCCGAGAGGACCCGAGAGGACCCGAGAGGACCCGAGAGGACCCGAGAGGACCCGAGACCCAGCTCTCGTGACGCAGGCGACCTGCTCGCCTCGCTCTCCTCGATCGCCGCGTCGCGCGTCCGCTGCTCCGTCATCTCCCTCCTCGCCGAGGTTTACATCTGCAGGCGGAGCTCGCGTCCGCATCTCGGCCACAGCTCGGCCATATCTCGCTCCATCTCGCCGAGGTCTGCATCTACAGGCGCATCGCCCGCGAGACTGGCGGCGAGTACGGCGTCGCTCTCTCCCAGCCACACCTCCGAGAGCTACTGCTGAGGCTGCTGCCGCCGCGGCCCGTCTGCCAGGTCCCTGCCGCCGCCGCCGCCGCCGCCGCCGCCGCCGCCGCCGCCCTCACCGCCGCCGCCGGTCCCACCGCCGCCATTGCCGTTCCAAGCCGCCCTTCACACCTCCAGCGCCACCGCCTCCAGCGCCACCCCTCCGGCCCCGCCGCCACAGGATAAGCTCGCGCCGACCAACTCGCTGGTCAAGGTTGGCTTCCCCAGCCGCGTGCCGCCGGGCGGCGCTCCGGCGCTCACCTACTCGGCGGGCTCCTCCAAGCCCGAGGTGAGGGCCGACGGAGGGTTTGCGTGCCCTCAGTGCGGCGTGCTGCACGCAGAGCTTCCCACCGAGTGCCCTGTCTGCGCCCTCAAGCTCCTCTCGGCGACGGACCTCTCAAAGACGTACCACCACCTCTTCCCGCTCCCGCTCTTCAAGCAGCAGCTCGGCCCGCCCGCCGCGCTCTGCTTCGGCTGCGGAGAGGCGCTGCCCGCCGCCGCGCGCAACGCCGCGCCGGCGACGCACGGCTTCACATGCGGCGCGTGTGGCGCCGCGTTCTGCGAGCACTGCGACGCGCTGCTGCACGAGTCTCTCCACGCGTGCCCCTCTTGTGAAGGTCCTTAGCTGTATTACAGGGCCAAAAAGGGCAAGGGGCCGCCCCACGCCCACCCCCAGCCCGCACGCGAGCCCCACGACTTTGTCTTTTTGAGGGTTTTCCGACTTTTTCTCAGAACCCTCTTCCCTCAGTGCTCAGACACTCAACGACCATGCGCAAAAGGGTTCGGTTCCTGCAGCTGGGTTCGGATTCCTTGCCGTCTCTCTATGGACTATGCGTTGCCGGCGACCGCGTCGCCGAGGACCGCGGCATTCGCGAGCTGCTTGGCGTGCGTCGGGAAGAGGAGCACCTTTGCGTTCGAGCTCCCCGCCACCGACGCCAAGGCCGCCACGTGTTGGCGGTGGAGCAAGAGTCGAGCAGCGTCGCGCCGCGCCGCCGCGCCGCCGTCGGCCGCCGCGCCGCCGGAAGCGCCGCCTTCGAGCGACGCAGCGATCCTGTCGAGCGAGTCGGCGAGGCCTCTCGCCTGGACGCGTCATGGACGTGTCACGGACGCATCTCGAGGGGCGAGTGTGTCGGCTGGCCCGTCCTCTCGGCCTCCATCTGCAGCCGCTCCTGCTCGCCTCTCGCTCCGAGCACCGTCGCCTGAGTCGGACGGGCCAGAGTCGAAGGGCTAGAGTCGCCACGCGAGTTGCTGGCGTGGCGGCGGCGTGATCCCCACCAGGGCGGCGCGAGCGCGTGAGCCGAGACGGGACGAGTCTGCTGCGCTCGCCACGTTGACGTGGGATCTTGCAGAGGCGGTGAGGTGCGATCTCTACCTCACCTCGCGTCGCCCCTCTGCCGCGTTGATCAGGGCCGCCTTCTCTCCCTCCGACTGCAGGATGGCGGCCCGCTTCTTGCGCTCTGCGGCCATCTGCATCTCCATCGACGAGACGATCTCTGGCGAGGGGTGGATGTCGCGCACCTGTCGGGACGTGTCCACCGGACGTGCTATCAACCGGACGTGCACCGGACTTGTCCACCGCGCGTTGTGCTGGGCGTGTCCACCGAACGCGTGTGCTCCGCTGGACCTGTCCACCGGACGTGCGCCTCTCTCATCAGACTCGCGCGCCTCGATGCGCGTCACGTCGATGCCCCAGCCGGCCGCCACGGCGTTGGCCTCCTCGAGCAGCTTCTGGTTGAGCCGCTCCCGCGCGGCAAACGTCTGGTCGAGGGTGAGTTGGCCGATCTCGGAGCGGAGCTGCGTGAGGACGAGGTTCGTGACGCAGGCGCGAAAGTCGTCCACTGCGTAGCGCGCGCGGGCCAGATCCTTTATCCGGAAGAAGACGACGGCGTCGGCGCTGAGTGGCGCGTTGTCGGACGTGATGCACGGCTGAGGCGGCACGTCGAGCACCTGCTCTCGGATGCTCGCGTAGATCGACACGCGCTCGATGCCGGGTATGACGAACGACAGGCCGGGGTGCAGGCGCCGCTCGAACCGCCCCAGCCGCTCCACCAGAGCCTCCTCGCCGGTAGAGATGATGCGCACCGATGAGACAGCGAGCATGACAGCGGCGGCCGCCGCACCCGCGGACACCTCCCAGGCCACCCCGCTTGCGGCGCCGAGCGGGAGCAGCGCGACGAGAGAGAAGAGCGTCGCAGACGTATGCATCTGGCGAGCAGTGGGCACTTATGCCTGGGAGCCAACGCCCGGCTTCTTGGCGCTCGCCGCTCGCGCTTCACACCGGTGCCGTGCCCTAAACTAGCCAAGAAATATAGGCCCATCGCGTTAAAGAAACGAGAAGGTGTTAAAGAAACGAGAAGGCGTGGCAGGCGTAGTGAAAAGAAATCGGGCGCGACTAGCGGGCGCCGCTGTAGAACTCGCGTGACACCGCTTTGCCCATGCCGGACCTCTTCTCGTCGACCTCCTCGCCCGAGGCGGACGGCACGGGAGCGCTGCCCCCAGCAAAGGCGCGCAAGGTCGGCTCGCCGAGCATAGTGCGCGGTGCCGACGCGGCTCTGCTCGCGGCGGCGGCTATGAAGGCGCGCTGGTCGTCGCTCGTGCTGGTGGAGGTGACGAGCACCTCTCCCGACTACATCAAGCCGTGGAAGATGCACTCGCAGCGCTCGTGCAAGGGCTCCGGCTTCGTCATCGAGGGCGGCCGCATCCTCACAAACTACCACGTCGTGCAGGATGCGATTGACGTTCGGCTCCGCAAGCACGGCGTCTCTCGGCGGTGGCGCGGCACGGTGCTGGCGCGCGGGCCGGACGTCGACCTCGCGCTGCTGGCCGTGCATGAGGACGAGGAGGGCCGCGGCGACTCCTTTTGGAACGGCGTGACGCCCGCCGTCTGGTGCTCGACGCTGCCGGCGCTGCAGTCTGCAGTCCATGTGTGTGCACTGTTGCGGCGGGTCCGTCTCAGAGCCTCCGAGGAGCCGTCGAGGAGCCTCCCCGTAGGTGATTGGCTTCCCGACGGGTGGGACCACCATCTCCGTCACTCAGGACCGCCATCTCCGCCTCCATCTCCGCCTCCATCTCCGCCTCCGTCTCTCCGCCTCATCTCCGCCTCCATCTCCGCCTCCATCTCCGCCTCCATCTCCGCCTCCATCTCCGCCTCCATCTCCGCCTCCATCTCCGCCTCCATCTCCGCCTCCATCTCCGCCTCATCTCCGCCTCCATCTCTCCGCCTCCATCTCCGCCTCCATCTCCGCCTCCATCTCCGCCTCCATCTCCGCCTCCATCTCCGCCTCCATCTCCGCCTCCATCTCCGCCTCATCTCCGCCTCCATCTCTCCGCCTCCATCTCCGCCTCCATCTCCGCCTCCATCTCCGCCTCCATCTCCGCCTCATCTCCGCCTCCATCTCTCCGCCTCCATCTCCGCCTCCATCTCCGCCTCCATCTCCGCCTCCATCTCCGCCTCCATCTCCGCCTCCATCTCCGCCTCGTCCCCTCTCCCTGCCTCTCCCCTCCTCGCCTCCTCTCGCCTTGCCTCCTCTCGCCTCTCCTCTCCGCCTCTCTCCCAAGGGTGCCCTCCTCCTCCTCACTCCCGCCCTCCTCCTCCTCACTCCCGCCCCCCCCCTGCCCTCCTCCTCCTCACTCCCCCCTCCCCCTCCCCAACGCAGGGCGTCGTCTCGCGGGTCGACTGCAAAAACTATCGCGTCGGCTCGAGCGCGTTCGCAAACTCGGGCGGGCTGCTCGTGCTGCAGATCGACGCGGCGATCAACGCGGGAAACAGCGGCGGCCCGGCCTTTTGCAGCGACGGCTCCGTCGTCGGCGTTGCCTTCCAGTCCCTCGGCGGTGCTGCCGATGGCATCGGGTACCTCATCCCGACGCAGGCCTCTCCTCCCTCCCTCCTTGTCTCCCTGCCATCGTCCCCGAGATCCAAGATGATTGAAATTATCCCTAGTATTTACTGTAAACAAACTGCCTGGTTGTAAAAAAAACATCTAGCGGGAAAAAGGACCTGTCCTCTAAATTTAAAGGTTTTTC